TCCCCATAGGTTTGGGGCACTCCCATTGTCCCCATGGGTTTGGGGCAGTCCCAATGTTCCCTGGGTTTGGGGCAGTCCCAATGTCCCCATGGGTTTGGGGCAGTCCCAATGTCCCCCTGGGTTTCGGGCAGTCACAATATTTCCATGTGTTTGGGGCAGTCCCATTGTTCCCTGGGTTTGGGGCAGTCCCAATGTCCCATGGATTTGGGGTAGTCCCAATGTTCCCTGGGTTTGGGGCAGTCCCAGTGTCCCCATGGGTTTCGTGCAGTCCCATTGTCCCGCCCCACTGTCCCCTACCCCATTACCGCCGCCCCATTGCTCCCCACCCCATGGCCCCCTCTCACTCCCCCATGCTCACCCCCATCTCGGAGTCCATAGCGCTGCCTTCCAGGTCACAGCGCCATGACTCCGCGACGCCCGGAACGTTTCCCGCACTGTGACACCCCGCTCGGAACCCGCACCTCATAACAGCCGGAAGGGGGGGGGCGATGGCGGCTTCGGGTGGGTGGAGACCCCCGAGGCGGCGCCCGGCCGCCGTGCTGCGATGCTACGTCCTCCTGCGGGTGGAGATCCAGGCTCTGCTGGCCGAGAACGAGGAGCTGGCCCGCATCGTGGCCGCCGTCCGGCACCACCGCCGCTTAGACCGACGGCGACACCGAGCCGGGCCGGCTGCGCCGCGACGAGAGCGCCTCGAGATCCGCCGCCGAGAGGAGCAGCCGGCACGGAACCGAGCTGGCGGAGCGCGGTGCGGGGCCGCGGAGCCGAGGGGCGGCGTGGAGCGCCGTGCGGGGCTGCTGCGCCACCGTCGAGGCTCTGAGCGGCGCCGGGCGTCGGGAGCGCCGCGGGGACGACGCGATTTGCGACGAGCACGGATCGCTCCGAGCCGGCCGGGCCCTGCTGGAGCAGCCGGACGAACCGCATCGCCGCCGGCACGGCACCGAGCCCTGCGCCTGCTGCCCGGCCGCCTTCGGCCTGGTGGAAGCCGCCGGAGCGTCGCACCGCGTGGGACCGCAGGTGGGCACCGAGCGGCGGCTGTGCGGGGAAGGCGGGGGGAGGGAGGGCACGGGGCAAATAACGCGGCGCGGGCGCACGGCGTGCGGCAACCGGCCATCGGAACGCAGCCCGTGGCGCTGGTCGGCGCACGGCCTGGCGCCTGGACGGCTGCGCTTCGAACGCGGCGCACGGCACGTGGCACCGGGCACACAGCGCCAGGCGCGTGGGATACGGCGTGTGACACCGCGTGGCGCATGGCAGCACATGGCGGCACATGGCGTGTGTTGGAAATAATCCAAGTAATTTTGTCAGGACGGTATCTCTGATAAAAGCAGAATTTATTCGCGATTGCAATGGCGGCGTCCCACAAGCAGGAGCGCCTATGGACACAACATGACAGCCTTTATGCCCTGTTTGCTCCCCCTTGCCTCCCCCCTCCCCTGTTTCCCCACTGGCTGGGTACTCCAGGTTCACAGTCTTACAGAAGGTTGACATTTGCTATTTCCTTGCTCATTTATTTGTTATCTGGTGCCGGTCAGTCGTCATCCTGTTGTTTCCAAGGTGTCTCGGTGCTCTCCTTGTCCTGTTGATATGGTGATTTTCTTTGAAGTCCTCATCGTTAAACAAAGAGCACTGGGGGATGATGGCAGGCCTTCCAATGTCAGGTGCTTCCTCGGGCTGCCATGGCTGCTGTCTGGTTTGCTCTCGTGCAGGATATTCTTGCAGTGTGTGTGACAAAATAGACATCTATACACCTATATACAGAGTGTGCCTTCCTGGGAAGGTTCGTCTATAAGATAAGTGATGTAAACTTATCAGAGATCTTCCCCAAGTGAAGTAGAAGGACTCCCAAAAAGAACTGTGATAGCGGAGATCATAAAATAAAAATAATATTATCCAATTCTAATGCAGAAACAACATTTGATTCCCACAGTACCTCACAATATTAGCTCTCTAGAAAACAAAAGGACAAACACATTAACACGTTTTGTGTATGTCAACATATAGAAACCTGTAACACCATGGAACTTTATATATGCTGTAGACTGCAAGTATCTGGGATACTCATTCTATTGTGTTTCACTATAGGAGATTTTGACATGTAAAACCTAAGTAAAAAGCACTGAAATGCAACAAATCAAAACCAAAAACACAGGTAATTCATCTAAGTAGGTCTTGGAAATTGCTGCAATTAACTGTGCCTGTAAAATTGAGAACAGTTGAGCTAAATATGGAATAAAATGAAGGGGATACCAACAGACATAAATACTATTTTTGTTTCAGGTTTCATCTGTGGATGCTGTAAATTAAAGAGGTGCAGTGAGTTGGAGCGTCAGAATCTGGTTTACTTACCAGCACCTTCTATTCTAAGTTGATATTACAGTTTTCTGATTGCTACTTACTGTTGTATCCTGTTGTGTTCACTGGCACCCACTTAGACAGCTTCCTAATGGGCATTTGGCAGCAATGACAGCGAGTGAACAGAGCAGGGAGTGAAAAGAGGACTGGCCAGAGAGTGGCAGATGGCACAGTTCTTTGGATGCTGATTTTCACTGATGGATTGTTTTTAAAAGTTTTTGTGTTGTTTTTAATTACTTTAAAGGAGCTGTGCTTGTAAAATGAGTCTTACCAATTGAAATTTACCCCTGACAAAAAGTCGAAGAGGATGGAAAGGATGTAATTATGTTTAAACATTTTCCTTTCACGCAGCGTTTCACCATTTGGAGAATTCCTTTCAGATAATGATAACCTACCTAGATTATATCAAAACGTAGTCCAAAATTCTTTTATTCTGACCAATGCGTAGGACATAAGAATTTGTGTGTGATATTTTCCCCCCAAGATGCTTTTGCAGCTGACAGCAGTTTGTAGACCAGAGATTTCCTAGCTCTGTGCTCATGTTCTTATTCTTAATAGTCTTTAGTGGGCTTTTCATTCTAGGGCTTTACTTTCTTTCTGAAGCCAAATGAGCTCTCAGGGTCCACAAATGTTCCACAGATCAGCTGGATAACAGAAAGAAATACCATCTCTTCTGATTCCTTTCTATTTTTTCTCCATTCTTTCTTCCTTCTTTCCTTCCTTCCTTCCTTTTTTTGTCTCTGTTTTGCTTTGTTTTGTTCCACCTTGTTTGGTTTGTACTTGAATCTGCCACCTTTTAATTGAGATCAGCTCTCCTGATCTAACAGGTTCCTAACCTTAGATGAGCAGAATATTGCACTGAAGACCCTCAAAAGCATCTCATTTGATGTTTGCATCAGTGAGGCAATGAAGCAGCCCAAATAATTTAACCCTTGTATGCAATATTCTGGGCTGTTAGTGCTAAGAGAGCAGTTCCCATGCGCTACACGTTTTCTGTATGGAACAGAGGGAAAAGAAATGCCTGTGTTCATGATTTACAATGGCTAAGCAGTCAAAGTAGGATAAAAAATGACAGTTTACTGAATAATGTGTATGCTGAATGCAAAGTGCTGTTCTCAAAGAAAGTCAGAATTAATGTAGCTGAAGCATCAGGATTGTTTTTTTGAGACAACACAGGTATTGTAAATCCTAGGAGTCTAAGGCACTGTTAAATGTAATCTCCTTTTCCACCTTCAGTTTACTTGAAACTGCCAGGAGAAGGGACTTTCTCAGAGCGTGCACCTCTTCACCTTCAAATCAATGGAGAATTTGCATGAGCTAAGGCTTACGAGATGATACTTTAATAGGATTAATAAGCAGTAACAGAATACATGGCAGTTACTACTAGAGATATTTAGGGAAAGACTTAAGAAAGACATAAGTTTCTGTTGTCAGTTTGGCAGAGAGAGAGAGAGAGAGGGAGGGAGGGAGAGAAGGAAGAGCACAGAAGGATCATGTCTGTTCCTTACCTCTCCTTTGTGTAGTTCTTTGAATTTTTGGCAAGCATTTCTGGGTTCGGGCTCCACACAGAGGGAATGAGCCTTTGCAACACTGAGAAAAATGTGGAAGGGAAAATTGGTATAGTTCTTCAGCAGTGATGGGAAAGTGAAATCAAGAATGCTGTTAAATCACAGAATCACCAAGGTTGGAAAAGACCTCAAAGCTCATCCAGTCCAACCGTTTCCCCATTCCCAACAGCTCCCACTGAACCACGTCCCTCAGCACAACATCCAGCCTTTCCTTGAACACCCCCAGGCTCGGTGACTCCACCACCTCCCTGGGCATCCATTCCAGTGCCTGACCACCCTTTCTGAAAAGTAATACTTCCTAACGTCCAGCCTGAATCTCCCCTGCCGTAGCTTGAAGCCATTCCCTCAGGTCCTATCACTGATGACACCAGAGCAGAGGCCGACCCCCAGCTCACTACAACCTCCCTTCAGGAAGTTATAGAGAGCAGTGAGGTCCCCCCTGAGCCTCCTCTTCTCCAGGCTGAACATTCCCAGCTCCTTCAGCCTCTCCTCATATGGCCTGTGTTCCAGACCCCTCACCAGCTTTGTTGCCCTTCTTTGAACACGTTCCAGGGCCTCAATATCTTTCTTGCAGTGAGGGGCCCAAAACTGGACACAGTACTCGAGGTGAGGCCTCACCAGTGCTGAATACAGGGGAACAATCACCTCTCTGCTCCTGCTTGCAACACTGTTTCTGATGCAAGCCAGGATGCCATTGGCCTTCTTGGCCACCTGGGCACACTGTTGGCTCATGTTCAGCCGAGCATCAATCAATACCCCCAGGTCCATTTCCTCTACGCAGTCCTCCAGCCACACCGCCCCAAGCCTGTAGCGTCGCCTGGGGTTGTTGTGGCCGAAGTGCAGGACCCGGCATTTGGCCTTGTTGAAACTCATCCCATTGGCTCCAGCCCAGCTCTCCAGCCTGTCCAGATCCCTCTGCATGGCCTCGCCACCCCCAGGCAGATCCACACTTCCAGCCAATTTGGTGTCATCTGCGAATTTACTGAGGGTGCACTCGATGCCCTCATCCAGGTCATCAATAAAGATATTGAAGAGGACAGGCCCCAGCACCGACCCCTGGGGAACACCACTCACGACTGGTCGCCAGCTGGATTTAACTCCATTCACCACCACTCTCTGAGCTCGGCCCTCCAGCCAGCTCCTTACCCAGCCAAGAGTGTACCCATCCAAGCCTCGGGCTGCCAGCTTCTGCAGGAGAAAGAAAATTGAGAAAATAAAGAAATCATGTCATTCAAGTCTTATTCTTTCACAGAAACTACAGAAACTAGATTTTTACGATCAATCTATCTGGAAAGTTTACTCTCGTGTTATAATTAACTAGTTAGAATTAGTTAGAATTAACTTTTCTGAACACTAGCACCAGTGATCCAAACATTTATAGTTTGTTTCTTTATTATTGTTATTTTGACTGTAACTTTCAGGGAGATGGAAAAAAAAGGTGAAAATAAATTTTCCCAAAAAATTCTCACAAAAAATTGTTAAAATTATTATGTTTACTACAGTGTTTGTCTAACATATTCACAGAATCACAGAATCACCCGGGTTGGAAGGGACCCCAAGGATCATGTAGTTCCAACCCCCCTGCCTAGCAGGGCCACCAAATATACACATTCAGATCAGGTTGCCCAGGACCCCGTCCAACCTGGCCTTGAACACGTCCAAGGACGGGGCATCCACAACCTCCCGGGGCAGCCCGTTCCAGGGCCTAACCACTCTCCTAGTAAAGAACTTCCCCCTAACATCCAACCTAAATCTTCCCTCCTTCAACTTGGATCCATTTCCCCTAGTCCTGCTGTTGTCAGCCCTTTTGAAGAGTTTACTCCCCTCCTGGGTGTAGGTTCCCTTCAGGTATTGATAGGCTGCAATGAGGTCACCCCGCAGCCTTCTCTTCTCCAGGCTGAACAAGCCCAACTCCCTCAACCTGTCCTGATAGGGGAGGTGCTCCAGCCCCCTGATCATCTTAGTCGCCCTCCTCTGGACCCTTTCCAAAATCTCTATGTCTTTCTTGTACTGAGGGCTCCACACCTGGACACAGGACTCCAGATGGGGCCTCACAAGAGCCGAGTAGAGAGGGACAATCACCTCCCTGTCCCTGCTGACCACCCCTCTCCTGATGGAGCCCAGGATCCCATTTGCCTTTTGAGCTGCCTAAATTGACTAAATTGACTAAAATTAAACTTTTTCTCACAGAACATCTGTAGTAATGGATTCAGTTCAAAACTAACTGAAAGGAATGCTCTTTAGCCTATTTTGTTAACATCTCAAAAACTTACATGTGCTCAAATTAAACACTGGTCTGTTATCTGAGCCTTACATAATACACATATTTCTTTTCCAAAGGTGTTTTGAGTTGATCTTATGCTTTGGGATTATTGATAAAAGAATAGTATTTACTTTGGGCAACAGCTGGGTCTGGGCTATGTTGATAAGAAGTGTTTGAGAGCAGTGTACGACTTACTTTGGTGCTGAGTATTTTTTCTTCCCCATTTTTAACTGTTTCTTATCCAGCTTTTTTAATGATAAGACTTTTTCCATTATGTGTCCTGGAAAAAGCGTATTTTTGTCAGGCAACCTCTTTGTTATGTTGCATGGAACAGCTCCTGGGATTATAACCCATAGTAAATGCTTTGCACTCCCTCCCTCTCCCCTCTTCCTTCCTAGAAGGATTACTTTGCTTTGAAAGCACGGTAGTTATTCTGGAAGAAAGTAATATTTATGATACAGGGCGTCTGTGGGGCAGGGGTACATTGAAGTTATTACTGAAGAATACTGCTACAGTTACTCT